TGGTATTTTTGAGATACTAAAATTTGACATGTCGCTATAGATAAGCATTTATTTAGTATTAAGTTTTGAATGCATTCACTAAAAAGGTTTATTTCATAATGTTGTTATTTCATGTGATGTGTTTCAAAAACCCTAAAAAAAATGGATGACCACAGGGGTTAAATTTCATGTGATCATATAGGTCATATTTTTGACTCAAATAATAATAATCAAATGGTCAAAAGTCATAAATCTAAGTAAAGAAGACAAATCAATTTTTTGAATTCATTTCAAATTATATATCCTTTTTCTTCATTAATTTTTATCCATGAAGAATTTGGGTTTTGAGGGAAAAGCAAAGTTGGGGATTATTTTATGTAGAAAAACTTTGAAATTAAAATTTTCAAATGTGATGATTTTTTTTGGAGTAAGTTTGAAAAGATCAAATGCTCTAATCAAATTCAAATTTCAAAATGGAGGTAGAAGTGTTCTTACTAGTTGTATTATTATTGAACAACTTTCATTTTTTATAGTTTAAAAGAATTTATATAAATTGTGAAATGAAGCAAAACATTTAATTATTTCAAAATTCAACTCCACCTCTTCGCTCTCATTGCCACGCTGAGTTCACCGCCGATCGGTTTTCACCGCTTTCACGTGCGTGACACGCCCAAACCTCCGTGATCGAGTTCGATCGGATGATCACGTCATCCCTCAAGCCGGCTATAAAAACTACATCGTCATTAATCGGAGTTTTCCTGCAAACCCTAAATTCTATTTTCTCATCCTCCGATCGCCTAATTCATCCTCGTCGGACCATCTCAAGCCAAGCGTTGGCTGGTGGCGGCGTGGCCCTCCCGCGGGCCGACCTGAGAGATCGCGCCAGGATCGGCACCACCGGCTGAAGATCATCTTCTCCCGCATCCCTGAAGCTCGCCAACCCACCACAACGCTGTGGTCCCGGCGATGGCGTGACGACCCTCCTGCACCAAGCACGACATCGATCCGGTGAGCAAGGGCGCGTTGCTCACTCTTCCTTTGACGGAGAGAGCCCTACTTACATCATCAGCGGCGGTCCGAGCCGCCATCGGCGTTGAGTGCCATCCGGTGTGCTTTTTTCGCTCGAGGCTTGGGAGAGGTTGGCGACTTGGTGTAGATCATGTAGGAGCAGCCCGTCTCACCGTGAGAGTCACCACTGACGTGTTTTGCTTTTCTCCAAGGAGGCGCCAGTTGTCTTGGGATCTGGTACGACGTGGGGTCCGCATTTACTCATGCCGAGAAGAAATAGTGAGCTTTGGTCTATTTTCGGTGTAAGGTTTTGAATAGTGCAAGCAATTTTCTGTTCTATTTCTATGAGCGTTTTATTTACACATCAAAAAATTCTGAAAGAGTAATGTAGCTTATCAATGTTCTAGTATGGCAAAAATTTGAAATTTGAAATTTGGATAAATTTTGAATGTTCAAATATTCAGTCCATTAATTGAAAAATGCTATTGCTCGTGATTTTTGTAGGTGATTCATGTGGAACTAAAAAAAATATGATTTTTGTTTTTGTTACACTAAGTTGTCATAAGGAAGCTTATATAAAATTTTCAGGATTGTGGAACAAGTTTATTTTGAAGGCTTAATTCCAAATTAATTCAAAAATAGATATATATATATATGTTTGATTAGTGTTGATTCATTTTATTCAAGTTTTGAGATAGTAGGGTTTCAAGATCCATTTGGTTGTCACATGTGTGGTTCATAAAGTAGGATTTCAACAGTTTCCTTTTGTTATGAGTCCTGATGCTTTTGTGAAATAAAATCATCTCTGGTGTGTTACATTTCAATCCCTTGTCGAGGCCTTGTTTACATTATCATCATGTTAAGGCATAACCTCATCAATGATCATAACGAAAAACGATCCTAGTTGGTTCATTCGAAGAACACAACAAGGTTCGATAATCGTGGTAATCGATCAACATCGAGATCCTCTAATTGCTTGCACCCAACAAATTTAAGCCATCACCTTGTTACTTTGAACACTCAATACTAGTTAGTATTGATGATTGTTGATTGCTTCAAATTTTACCTACTTGATGCATTACCTACCTTGTTACTTTTTTACCATCCATGAAGATGTTTTCATTTATAAATGATGTCATGTACTTAGTATGCTTGATGGTAGGCTTTCAAAGTAAAAAATTTCGATATAATCAAAGATGGCATAATGGCCAAAAGAAAGAAAGAATGTAGAATGAACTTTCATTTGACTTATCTTGAATGATGGGTAATGTTGAGAATCCATGTTGTCTTAAAGGCCACTCATAGTGGAGTGAACGAGACACTTTGAAAGTTCTTGGTCACATACTCCAGTAAGCCTACTTGCGCTAATCCGATGCTAAGACGAATCAAGACCGGGAGTATGTACTTAGTCATTTGCATCATTTGATCTTTGTGCTCTCGTGGAGCGGCTTAGTATAGGAGGAATAGAGGATGATATATGCAAGATTGTTCTACATATGTCGTGATGATAAAGATGCAAATTGGGACTTGAATCAATTGAATTGCCGGTGCTCATGGATATGACTATTCATTATTCAATGTGTTTGAACTACTAAATCACGAAAAAGAATGGAATGTGATTAAACATGGGATATGAACACTTAGTTGAGATAAAAGATAAAATACTTAGTGGTAAAACTTGAGCTAGGATCTAGTATAGTAAGCTTTTAGCATGAACCCCATGATATCTTTGTTGACATCCTTACATGTACCCAACACTTGCTTTATTTTTCACATATTTGGCCCTTTTGGATAGGTACCATATTTGTTGAGTTTGGAGAAATTAGGGTTTGATAACCCTTGTCGTGTGAGTTGTCCCTAGAGCTTGTTTAGAGTCTTCAAATGAAGATCGGAGTTGTTTGAAGTCGATGACTGATGAGGAATGATGAATGGCCTTTGGACAATACTAGTTTGTGTTAATATTAAGCATTGTAATGTAATATTATCTCGCTACTTATTTGTATAATACTTATGGTATTGTAAGTTTGAAAACATATGGTTTGTATCTATTTTATCCTTAAAACTTCCGCTATCATTTATGGGATATATAGATTTGAATAAACTGTTGTAATATGCAATGACTGTGATTGGGATCCTGTTTGAAAAGAGAATCGTGGATGATTCGGGTTTCCTGAGGACACCCGACAGACCTGTTGAGTTGTTGGGAACTCGTGTACGCTATTTGAGGTCTGTTAAGACGACAATAGGTGCATGTGGGCCCGATTTCTTAGGAGGTTCTGCCACAGCTGCTCCCGCCACTCCTTCCCCCTAACCCTCCTCTCTCCGTGCGAGCGGAACCCGAAGCCCGGATGAGGACAAGCACACCCCGTTCTTTGGACCCCAGGCGCGCTGTGCTCCCCATCTGCCGGCCCCCGGCTCGCCGCGCCCCTTCCACCAGTGCCCGGGCCATGCCCCATGACTCTCTAAACATACCTCTGAAACACAAAACACTTACAACATGAAACACTTGAATGCAACATAAGTCTGAAGCAGATGAAACATTTGGAACATACAATTGCAACATATGTGTGAAACATATGTAACATCCATATAAAATACTTGCAACATAAAAACACTTACTGCAACATAAAAATCAAACATTTAAAACATACTCTTGTAACATATGTGTGAAACATATGCAACATTCAGATCAAAATACTTGCAACATACATCTGAAACAGATAAAACACTTTGAACAAACTCTTGCAATATGCCTCTAAAACACTTGCAGCACATGCAACATCCTGATCTACTTTTGCAACATCCATATGAAACACTTGCAACATACATCTGAAACATCTAAAACACTTGAAACATACGTTTGCAACATATGCTTTCGGCGCAACATCTCCTTGCTGCTTGGGAATGGAGACCCGTTGGCGCGTGGAGTTCACCGGTGTAGAGCTCATCGGTGGCGCAGAGCTCGCTGCTTTAGTGGAGAAGGCTGCGCGAAGGTCCCATGGAGAAGGTTGCGGCTGGTCTGCACGCTGGAGAAGCCCACGACGATTGGGAGGCACGGTGGTGAGGGAGGAAGATGGGCCGCTGTGCTGAGAGAGGAGGAGATGCCGGCCGGCGGGAGTGGAGGCACGATGGAGAGGGAGGCGCGGTCGAAAGCGAAGTGCGGTGGAGAGCACTGTCGCGGCGCTGTGGTGAGGTGAGTTTTTTCTCTTTTTTTAAAAATGTTGGAGCGAGTGGATGAGCAGATAAGATGCGGTTGTCGGGTTGCGTTGTGGCTCACTATCCGCATCGTGCGGACGGACAGACGTCCGATATCCACCATTACCGCAAGTAAAATGTCCCCTGTTGTAGGTACCTGGCACACAGATACGGAAATTTCTTGACGCGAAAGTGATTGTGCTGTGTTGTTAATTTGCATGTGGCACAGTTTAAATAAAAGGAGAAAAAAAAACCCAACTGATCACTACACCACTACACGCTTGGCAATTGCCATGGTCCCTACGACACGCACGCTTTCCCCTAAAAGCTTGGTACCTTGCCCTTGTCCACTTGCCCTTTTTCTTTTGCGATTCAGGCACGCACGCTGCGCGCATGCTCTTCTTGGTTAGTACTGTAGTAAGAGAATCCGTCATGTTTGAATTGAAACAGGAATAGCCCATCGTCCCATTTACCGTCGTACAACAAGGGGGCCGAGGGAGGGACTTTTGTTCGTCACAACAATCATTCCTTCATTTTTTTTTGCTCATTTTGCAGATTCCATGGATCAAAAAGGACCTTTCTTCCTTTTCTCTGCATCCATCACATCCAAAGCAGATGCAGGACACAAAAGCGAGGACTCGATCGATAAAAGGCAGGAGCTGAAGGATCATACATAACAAACACTGTCACCATAATTAATCAGTCATCAAATGACTAAATCAGGAATGATGAACAACTGCAGAGTGGCTTATTAGTGGAGATACAGTGAACCAACCAAGTCATAATCAGAAAAAAGGAGCATCCGATGTACACAATCTTCAGCCCTTTTTGGGTGCAAGTCTAGCCTTGATTTTCTCCACCTCCTTGGTACCGACCTGGAACGCCTTCGTCAGCACGGCGTCCGGCACCTCGGGCTCGGCCGCGAACACCGCCGCGGCGAGCGACTGCGTCCCAGGCAGCTGGCTGTTGAACGCCGCGACGACGGCGGCGGGCGCGTCACCGGCGTTCCGCTGGAAGTGGACCAGCCCGCGCGGGAACACGAACACGTCGCCCGCCGCCAGGGTCTTGGCGACGAGCCGGTTGCCGGCCGCGGTGACGAAGCCCACGTCCAGCGTGCCCTGCAGCACGAACACCATCTCCGTGGCGCGCGGGTGCGTGTGCGGCGGGTTCACCCCGCCCGGCGCGTAGTCGATCCGGGAGAGGGAGACGCCCAGCGTGTTCAGGCCGGGCACCTGGACCACGTTGGCCGCGGTGACCACGGAGCCGTAGGGGGTGGCGCTGCTGTTGCCGGCGACGGCGAGGCCTTTGAAGTAGAAATCGTCCGATGTTACGGCGCCGGCCTTGCAGGCGAACCCGTTCACCTTCACGGCTGCACGTACATTGCACGTACGTAGGTTCGTACGAACTCAAATTAGCACTGGTTTATATACCAAGAAGTAACTGGAAAAGCAGGAAATGAGGTAGCTTCCGCGCGTGGTACATACTGGACGTGAGATCCGCGACGCAGATGTCCTGGAGCAGGTCGGCGTCGCCGGCGACGGACGGGGAGGGAAGGAGGACGAGCATGGCGGTGACAACGACGACGATGGCGAGTGGATGCAACGGAGGAGGAATGGCCATTGCGATTTGTGAGAGAGCTTGCTCGATCGGTTGCTCCTTTGGAGTGCAGCTGTGTGCTCTCGTGCTTCTCTATGAGTATTATGGCTAACAAGCAGGCTAGGGGGCCACCCTTTCTTCACTCCCTTGCTGTTGGTGTGTTGCTGGTGGCTGTGAATGGCCTTGCTGGATGCTGGATGGGGTAAAGGTGTATGGGATCGATCGGTTTTATAACCGGTGGCCAGTGGTCCTGCTGGTCGGGACGAGATAGGGAGAGAGTGGAGTGATGTCAGTGTGAAGCTAGGGACGTGTGCGTGCTGGGATTTGGGAAGTGTGGCAAGCTAGATTGTCGTCCTTTCACCCCAAGGAATGTGCTGGGCGTGTGCCGTGTGCGTGTGGGCGTGGTGGCGTAGCAGGAGATTGCTGGAGGAGTACACAAGGAACAATGTGATAGGCTGCTTATTTTATTGCACGCTCTGTTTGCTGAGTGGTGAGTATGAACGGGCAGAAGATTTGTTTGGTGCTTGCGGACAGGATAGCTAATTGGGCCATCTGTAGAGGAACTAATTAAACTAGTACTAATGCAAGTGATGCTTTTACCACTACTAGTATAGTCTGTGAGACTCAAGTTGCTACAAGATATCATAAAAGTCACAGTTGCACACTAGCCAGGGAGAGGAGATTCCAGGACGATGACAACTTGGGGCTTGTCTGCTCTCACTGGACCTTTTACGAGTTTGACCTATTCACATTTATTTTCAAAGCAACGTATTTTTACTGAATATCTACCACGCAGATGTAAAACGATCTATGTTTTGGTAAATTAAAACCGTAAACTATTTGATCAGTAAACTTCGTGAACTGTTGCCGGGCCCACTTTTTCACTTGTATCTATTTCCACTCACCATATCAAGATAACAACAAGAAGGAATAAAGGTTAGCCAAATGGTGAATTTTTCAAGTGTGCCAAGAGATTTAGGGTAGCCTATCTACATCTTCTTGGAGAAAGAGAGAACAAACTATTTATATTTTTCTTTTGCAAGATATGAATAGTTTGATCACTATCTTGTATCGGGCGTTCCCTCCTTTACTTTTATCTATTGATGCTTTTTATTTCTAATCTCTTGTGTGAACGTTGTCTATTTCTATTTTTCATATTACAATATATGAAAGGTCTTCTTGAAACTTTTTGATGTCAACTTTTCAACTCTTTAATGTATAAGCTGCAACAAACATAGCTTTATTTGTTATCTTTAAAAATGGCATAGGCAGGTAAGATATAAATAGGTACAAGGGCATTTTACATTAGTTTCTAGCAATGATATAGTGGTGGCGGATAATTAATCAGCATTGAAATGGATATTTTGATTTTTATTTTCTATGTCTAACAAGGCAATTTCTAGATCTTATGAATTGACGCAAAACCTTCTTTCCTTGATCAACTACTAAGATAATAGATAGCACAAACATGTAGTCAAATAAATCACACAAGTTTATAGTGACTGTTTCGTTGGCTCGTTATAGAGGCCAAATAAAACTTCATTAATAAAGCTTGGTTCATCTAGAAATGGCCATCCCTTTGTTCCAGGAGCTACTGACGCAAGGCTAAACAAGTTGGCATGTAGTTCATGATCAACGCACGCCTTCTACATACCTTCGAGAGACCAGCAGCTAATTCATGACTGTTCTAGGGGCTCAACTTCAAGGTCTGTTCCTATGCTGGGATGATTTTCTCCTGTTGCCTCCCAAACCTAGATGCTTACACAAGCAAATGTGCTGCACTACGAGCAACATGTACTTGTGGCCTTCTATCTATTATATTGTTAAAAAAATCCCTCTTCATTTTCTTTCACCCTTCCAAGACGATTTTATATATTCAGCCTTCTATAGGATATATAAGAACACAAAGCCTGTTCGGGAGGCCGTATCATATCGTGGATTATTTACTGCTGGCTGGTTTGGTGTGAGAGAAAAACACTGTTTCCGACTGGAAATTTACGATCGTTTACGAGCAAGCGAACAGGCTTACTCGTGCAGAAGAGTGAGCGTGTGACTCACTGACTCTAGATCAAGCTTCAGAAGATGAGTTACTCCTATATTGAATATGAAGGCAGGAAAAGATATGAACACGTGCTGGAATATGTTGCATACTTGCATCTTTTAAAGTTTTCAACATGTATTTAACAGGGATTCAACGAGAGGAATAGGATGTCCACCACGTAATAATTTGAAAAATCAGTAATAAACACCCATGATATGTGTTATAGCTCGAGGGAAGTGATATATACGGAGGAGGTCTTTCAAAAAAAAGATATATACGGAGGAGGAAGGTAGGAGACAAAAGTTTTTTTTTTGATATATTCGTTCCAATTGATTTGCAAATATATCAGCGATAGAATCAATTCAATTCTAAAAAAGGGAGGGCGAGGTGGGTTGTCCGAAATAGAGATGAGCTGCTAGACTATATCGAATAATGAATTGAATGATTTTAAAAAAACTAGAAAATAGATGAAACTATAGAAGGAATCCTGGAAAGAAAAGCGAAATGGGGATACATGAAAATCGATAAATGCTACGGACTTGATTGTATTGATCTTGACATGGAAACATGCTAGCCGGTATCTTCACTTGATTGTATTGATCTTGATTTGGGAACATGATAACCAATATCTTCCAAGCAAAGGCAACTTGTGTCCAAACTAAACTAGCATATGGATGCAATCGAGATAATGCTAGGACACAAGTGACTAGAGCAGCAACATTGTGATGAGATAAAAGGGCAGAAACAATGCACAATTAATCCCTCATGAGAAGAACAACTACCATCATATTAGCAGTGGAACTAACAATCATAAGCACAATAGACACATCGATTTACGTGGAAAACCCTCCTCAAGGGTGTAAAAACCATGGGACCAACTGTCCCACTTCAAGCTTCCACTCTAATCAACAATGGGTAAAAGGAGTCTTCTCTAGAGCATCTAGAGGATTACACTAGCAGCAACACATTCACCAATTTACAAACTTGGCATCAACTACAACCACAACCTTCTAACAAGAGGAATAACAATAACCAAATAGAAAAGTCATATATTTTGTCCCCCTTGTAATCAGTTCATATCACACAAACTACAGCTCTATTGTGTACAAATTTTGGTAGGCATGTAGATCCATGAGTCCCCTAAGCCCCCGATCAAGTTTCAGCTCGATCATACACCGTTTCAGCACCCAAAACAATCATCTACTAAAAAACTACAGTAACTAGAACTGACAAAGTACCTTTCAAATCTGATGCTCTACTCAACCAATCCTCAAACCAACTGAACATGTCAAAGTGCTCTAAGTTAGAAACAAGGTCACCAAGTTTGGCTCCAATACAACGATGTTTGAGGCTACAATCACCGGCTTGAAGATGACTGGTTCAAAGCAACCAAATCTGGACAGATTTGGTTCTCCTTGTTCTTTCTCTGTTCTCTCATATTGTGGTGTTCTTGTGTTCTACTCTCTCCTCCCTCACTCTCAGCATCAGCAGCTAAAGCAATGTAGGCTAGGGTTTGTATTTTTTATTCCTTCCAAGGATCAATCTCCATCAATAACTCACAAGAACTGAGCCTATGAGCTACATTTGAGTTGCTTTGCTGGGCTCAAAATCATCCTCCATGTGGTGGGACCGCCCAACACATTGTGTATTACAGCATGCTCTTGAGATCAAGAGCAACTACGTGCTAAATGCTAGACTTTTTGAAACATAGCTTAACGAAATCTCTCCCAAACCTAAAGGTGCATATAGTATAAGAACTTTTCTTGCGAATGTCAAAACACAACAAGATCTTTCAAAAACAATGCACCATGGCACCACATCTTGGAATCCTTTTGTTTTCTTTTAACTGCCTATCCATTTCTTCACCTTCCATAACATATATATATATATAACTACTACCCTGTAGCTGGCTACAAAATAACTTATAGTAACCACTTTGAGTTACGATAATTACTATGTTAATTTATGAGATTATAGTAACTCCTTACTAAGTGGTTTACTATAACGTTATGGTAAATATCCCCATGTGTTATAGTAACCCAACTATCGTAAATATGTATTCCGTAGCCACCTCCATTTACGATAATTTTATATACTAATTTACGATAAAGTGAATACATATTTATGATAGTTGTGTTACTGTAACACATGAGGATATTTATCATAATATTATAGTAAATCACATAGTAAAGAGTTACTATAATCTCGTGAATAAGCATAGTAATTATCGTAACTCAAAGTGGCCACATAATAAATTATTTTATAGCCAGCTGCAGAACAGTATATATATCTCTCTGTGTGTGTGTGTGTGTGTGTGTGTTGAATTGGGTTGTCCCTTGTGCCACATCACGCCCTGGATTTCTTTGGTTCTTGGTAAGGCTACAAAAGCTAGCCACCGCCGGGGTGATGAGCCCATGTTCATCCTCGCAGCTACACACTCAGTAAGCTTGGTCTCATATCCTACCACGCCAGCCGGGGTGGACCTTCCTTAGGGCCAACCTGGCCGATGGCCCCCTGCTTATTTGTAATATCCATTAGCAATTTTTATTAGGCTTGAAACTAACAAGCTAGGGTCATGTTTGGGTGATGTAGTTTCCTGTAACCATGGTATCGCAAAAACTCTGGTTTTTATAAGCTAAAGAGATATAAAACTATTGTTTAGAAAAAAATATCATGGGTGGAGTTTTTAAAACTCCAAATAGATTACACTTTTGACAAAACCATGGTTTAGAAACTTCAAGGTTTTTTATATCCAAACACCCAACAACTTTTGAAAACAAAGTATTTTGAAAACCCATAGTATTTCTCTAATACTCCAAAAATACTTTGCATCCAAACAGGGCCTAAATCTATCAAAATCCATTGATTTTTGGTGTTGGGCCCCTACTAAATATACTTGCAAACTCGACCACTGCATGCCAGGTTGGGATCGTCGAGCTTCCCGATCATTGCGCAGCAGGGGGCGGCAGAGTTGCAACACATG